CCCCCCCCCCTCCCCACATATCTTAGAAGACTTGGTGTACATCATCATACAAATCACTTTAATTTAAAAACATTTCAGCTGCATGATTCTGAAGAGCGAATGGAAATGTACTCCTTATATCAAAACTGTGTGAACTATGTACATCCTGAAAGTATAATATGGCTTCATTTTACTAGTTGGTGTCATGTTTTATGGGAACAGCTAACCCCAACATAATATATTTCTCCTTGGTTACTTACCTTGGATTGTGTTGGGAATGGAGCTTGTGCAGACATCCGTCGTGGGAATACACTAGCCAGCGTTCTGCTGCTATAATATCCACACTATAAGTTCTGAATGGATCACTTGCCAACCATGCCGCTGATGGGTGGGTACAATGTTCAGGAATGCTTTTACTCATTGACTGAAGCATATCCTGACACCTTGCTCTGCATGCCATCTTTCCTTTGGATACTCTCCTCATGTTTTGTTTGTATTCTTGTGCACTTAGACTGAAGGAAGGGACCGTGCTCTTTTTTTTATTTACTGTTATGTGCCTCTCTATCCAGATCACTTGGCATGAACCTTTTACAGTTCTTTTCCAGTCATATTGGACTTAAGTATTTATACTGTCTTATACCTATATTGCTGGGTATCCAACGCTAAGCTGCTGACTGTAGTCTAGGTAGGTCTGGGTTTCTCTTCCATAGAGAACTCCGGTGTGAGGATCGTGTTAGGTTTTAGGAGTCTTGCATGTGATTAAATGCATACTAGGCTTAATTTTGTGTTGGCAGGTTTTATTTGATGCTCGGAATTACACACACTAGATGTATTTATCATTGCATTTAAGCCACTGAGGGCATATAATAGTAACCCCAGTGGTGATAAAGCAAGAGTCTTTAAAAATATAGCTTACACCTATTAGCTCATTATAAATGTTGACTGCCAAGCTTCAGACCCAGGACAGAAGAGCTAATTGTAGCTTCCAGTTGGCTGCCTCTGATTTTAGGAGTATTGTAAGGTACTTAAGTGAAACAGTGTAAATATTTTCACCTCCTGTTACTTTGTTTCCCCCTTTTATTTTCTTCATTCAGAAACTATTTCAGCATGGGGTGGTGATGCCATGTGAAAGTGGCAGGGTGTTTTCTAAGTTTGCACTCTGCTTGCTTTCCAGATTCTGTCCATATATTCCAAAGTTTTATCACTTTCTGATGACGTTTGCATAACTTTTTGAAACCCTGTGATTTTTGTTTCCTAGGGAGGAGAGTGAAAGTGTGTTGACACTGAAGGGTTTAACCCCCACTGGAATGCTGCCGAGCGGAGTACTGGCTGGAGGACGGCAGACTTTACAAAGTGGTAATGATAAACAACTTGCCATACCTCAGGTGGACTGGGGCACACATCATTCCCTTTCCAGTTCTACTACTAATGCATGCTGGGAATTTCTAATGCTTTTTAGCTCCTGTCTCAGTGGCTAACAATAGTACATTGCTTAAGCTTTCCCTGCACAATGAAAGATATCAATTCATACCACGGTACAAACCACCACGACTTACATCCTGTGTTTGACTGTGTACTGAAATTCAGTTCAGGCAGAGCAAAGTGACCGGGCCAATTTAGTTCCCTCATTTCCAGCAGAACCTACCCTTCCCCTGTTCCCTACTACTGCATTCATTCACCGGGAGAGAAGCTGATCCCTGATACTTTGGTCATAAAGGAGCATGTGACATTGCTGGTGCTTTGTGACGGTCACAGTGCTGTCACATGGTAGCCGAAGAGAGTCCTTGGTCTGTGTTCGTTTCATTGAGTGACTCTTACACAGGGCTTTCTTTCCTTCAGGTGGCTGATGAGCGTGACAGGGAAACAAAGGAAAGGAGAGTGTGCTATTGGGGTGTGGGCATTAAAGTAGACGCATTATTGCTTAAGTAATAATAAAATATTTTGTCTGAAAAAAAGCAGCCGTTGCCAAATGCAACCTAAAATACTGTATTTCCATAAGGCTACTATGCAGTTTTTTGTTTTGTACCCTGGTATTCTGTGCTGAAAATATGTTGTGTTTATTTTTCTATGTACACTAACGTCTTACAAATTTCCCCCCTCTGCTTGGTTTTCTTTCTCAAGGTGCAGCTCTTTTTTTTCCTGTTAGTCTGGTCTGTCCAGTCCTCTCTTTGTATTAGTTTATAATTGTAGTATATGTAGAAATGTATGTCTTGTGTGTCTAAGGTGGGTGGACATGTTATATTTGAGGGATGGGCTTTTCTGTTGCACAAAAGATGCATTTCCATTTGCACAAGGTATTTGTTGATTGTATTATCACCAGTACTGATAATCGGCAACAAACCTTGTAAATATCAGTGTGAAAGGTATGATGTGCGCCAATATTTTGCATGGAAATAAAGACCTATAATGAAATATCAGTGATCTGTTGTATTGAATGCAATTGAAGGACAAATATGGTATCTTGAGTTTGGAGTAAACTACAGGATTGCTTAAAATCTGGAAAAGGACAATTGGAAAACATTTCCGGTGTGACCTGACATGCTGCTGGTAACAACTGAATACATATCTAACTAGATAACATTGTGGCCATTGCTTTTCACTCATTGACAGGCAGTCCACTTGCTGAGTTAGCTCGTGGGGGCAAGGTGTGTTCCCCCGAGCCTGGAAATGAGTTCTCTGGGACCCTAGCCAGAAAATCTCATCTTTCATTGCATTCACATTCATGGCAAACCTGTTTGGCTTCACGTTGAACAACAGTGTCACTCACTCAGGCCTAGTAATATTCACCCTCTTTCCCCCTCCCCCTCCCTCTCTTTATTTGAGTCCTGTATCAGTTTCCCTTCTGCAGCTGTCCAATTCCACTTTCTTTTATATTGGGATAAAGATTAAGAAAAAGAGATTGCGTACCTCAGACTACACATACATAGGTATAAAATAATGCAATAATCATTATTTATACAAGTTAAAAAGCATGAGGTCTCTTAACATCAACATGAAATCTTAAAGGAACACTTAATAAAATCAGGTATACTAGCCCCCCACTTTCGTATTTCCTTCCAGCCCTGCACACATTGTATGTCTAGAGTACAAGAGTACAGGAAAAAAATCAGATAGATAGATATGTATGTATGTGTGTGTGTGTGTGTGTATATATATGTTCAGTATATCTTATTGATTGTTTTTTTTTTTAGCCATAGAGGTGTGCCCCTCTCTTTGGTACCCCTCATCTGCACAAAGGGGTTATTGTAAACCTTTGGAACTGAGATATTACCTGCTATTTTGTATATGTATATATAATTGGGTTGTTTGTACTCTATGATGACTAATGAAATCTACACATTGTTTGTTGTTTAAGCCCTGTTCCTAAAGAAGCGGTTTACACAGTGAAACACTTAGAATCACGTCTTCAGACCCTATCAAGCACATTATATGATTCTCATCATCATTATCTGTTGAATACAAGATGGTCTGCATGATGTGTGTGTATATACTCTGGAAATACACTGGGGGGAATTAATCAAAACTGGAGCAGACATAAATCTGGAGAAGCTGTGCATGGAAACCAATCAGCTTCTCTGTCATTTTCAAATCTTAACTGAACAAACTGAAGAGAGACGCTGATAGGTTGCCATGGGCAACTGCTCCAAATTCTGTCTGCTTCAGTTTTAAATAAATTCCCCTCAATGTGTGCAGGGCAGGAAAGAAATTAGAAAGTCGGGTGCTAATATACCTGATTTTATTAAGTGTTCTTTTAAAATCATTCATGTTGATGTTAAGACACCTCATGCTTTTTAACTTGTACAATTCAGGTTTATGACTTTTTTTTCTTCTACCTATGTTTACCTTTTGAAAGT